CTCCCCCCTCGACACACTGAGACGGATATGCCTGTAAAAAAACAATGAGGCCGGATTTGGAAAGTATTGGGAGACCGCAGCAAGGCTCCACAGACCGAAAAAAAAAAATAAAAAAAAATAGAGAAACACATTTCCGTGGATTGTTTTTCATGCCCGGGGTACCCCGGGCAAGGTCCCGATGCCTGGGAAAGTGGTAAATGGGCAAAGCCCCGGAGATGTCATCGCCGAACTGGCCGACCCTAGATAATTTGTAATTCTAGTATTTTACTCATCTCCTTCAGAATTCTAGTACTTTACTCATCTCCTTCAGAATTCTAGTATTTTACTCATCTGCTTCCACTGGAGGTCTGTACTTGAACAGTTCAGGGTGTACTAAGTGAGCTACGGGCCAGCGGATAGAGTTCTTTCCTCTTAGTAATACGTAGACACAGTCTAAAAAGTTTTTACTTTGTTTGTCCACTCACCCTAAATTGTTCATCCACCCTAAAGGTCTTTATGTAAATCCCTTGTCAATCTCATACACCGAAAGGCGGTAGTAACTCAAAGGAATGATTAATCCTTTCATAGCGTGCTTCTGAATAATGTCAGTCCGTGAAGAAGGCAACAACAATCCTTTTGCCTTTAATCTGGCCAACTCAAAAAAGATTAGCAATGGTTAATCCTTTCGTAGCGTGCTTCTGTGAATTCTCCCGCACACTTTTATGCCCTAATTTTCCAATCTTGATAAACAAATTAGTAAATTACTCCTGGTTGCAGAAATGTCACTGGTTTGCAAGCTCTCCAACTACCGTCTTCACCCGAAAATAACGCCCGGGCGTTATATTCAACTTTCCCAAAAAAGGTGATATTTTCGTTTTTAGACACTTTTTTTCAAATACAACTCCCCTTCGAATAGAACGCCCGGGCGTTATATTTGAATGTTCCATGGCCAGAGTGCCTTGAAGAGGTAGTATACATGGGTTTCAAAGGGCGGGGAAGGGGGTATACATGGGTTTTGAAGAGGGTTGAATGGGGTCTTGACTTCCGAGGGGTGTATTTCGGCTTGATTTTTTGTTTTTATTTTTTATTTCCGAGTTTATAGGGAATTCTGAAGTGACCCTCAGCCAAAAGTTGGTCGCATTGCAATCCTGGACAACATATTTGTTTTACAGAAGTTTTTGATTTCTTTTTTTTCGGAATTTTGGGGTCTCACCAAAGTTACCACAAATTTACTGAATATAACGCCCGGACGTTATAAACGAATATAATTCGTATACAACGCCCGGGCGTTATATTCGTATACAACGCCCGGGCGTTATTTTCGGGTGAAGACGGCAGGTCTTATTGTTCAATGGAATGCATTTTATTTTTTGTTCTGCTCGTGCACAGGTGTCTGGCTGCGAGGATCAGAGGTGATAGGTGTTGGCACTGATTGCAGCTTTCTACAACGTCCTGCTCGTGACATCCACATCATCCGTGGTGCGGAAAGGACTGCCTTCAGAGAGCCAAGGATGACGCGCATTCCGCCTTGTAGGCCATGCGAGGTGGATTCACTGCATCGTGGGCTGGCTGGAACTGTGCGACGTAGTGGGGGTTGGGCTGATGGTGGGAGGAGGGCGGGCATGCATTCAATTGACATATAGTGGTTGTGCAGTGTCGGCCATTCCCAAGCCAACAAAGTGGCGTCTGTTGCTGGCTGCAGAGCTGGGCAGCTCTCAGTATGCTCAACCAGCCGGAAAGACACTCACAACAGAGCGAAGAGGGTCAGACAAGGCAGGAGGGCAGGCTTTCCAAAGGGGCATACATTCGGGTTCGGTCACCAAAGGCGAACACAATGCTACACAGCTGCAAAGGTGGCATTGAACCACCAGTACGTTTTCCGGCCCTTTCCTCGAAGTTGCAGCTTGCATGCGGCCCCAACTTGTGGGTCTCGGTGTCCGGAACAAAATGGCTGGTGGGCCCAAGCCCCCAGCCAAAAGAAGGCCTGTGACGGTTCGTTTTGCCCAGACGCGCAGCCCATTGCCAGCCCCAGAGAAAAGTGCCTCGGAAGTACTGCTCATTTCAACGATTCCTCCAAGGCTCTTTTTGCCAAAGCAGGATTGAACCTGCATGCCCGAAATAATTGCATTGATCAGCTATGGCCACATTGTCTTTTTTCTTGCCCGGCACCACCTGTCATTTCGGTTTTGTAGCACTGTTAATCCGAAGAACAGCTATGTCGCATTTTCGATTCTCAAATTTGCCCGGGAAAGTACTTCTTCGGTGGTTAAAAAAAAGAAAAGGAGCAAAGAGAGGCAATTTCCAAGCTCAATCAACCCTCCTCCAATTAGGAATTCCCTACGTAATCAAATTATGGCGGGCAGCCTGTAATCTTTCGCAGGGATCCACCTTTCTTTTCTTTTTCTTTTTTTT